GAATTGGCAACATAGACCGAGGCGAAACTAGAATTATTTACAAGAATTTTATTCTGTGAATATCCGACTTATAACTATTCTACGGATGGTAATTTAATGCAGAAGTCCACTGTTAAGATTGCGCGTAAATTTGATTGTTTTTTGTGGGCTTCATTAGCCACTGGAATAAATATTAACATAAATTTAGAACTTTCGACACTATTTCTCAAAATATAATACCATCAAAGGTATATTAAAAGCTTTATCGGGAGGTCGATGTTTCTATTTCTATAGTCCTTACAAATGCAATACCCCGCAACCCAGATTCTCTCTAAATCAGACCTTCAGAAACAACCGAAACCAGTTAATATGAGCGGACTTAGATATTTGAAACGACTGAGTTACAATATCACGATGAATAAGTTAAAGAACAAAGCTAGATAGATCCTCTCCAAACGAGACTTTCACAGTTTAGTTAGTTAAATTGAATACTAATCGGCGTGAGACATTTATAACAGAAATAAAGAGTTACAACGACGAGTCGATCAGACTTTCAAATCATTTAATAATTTGAAAAGCGTCGCCGCTTAAACTTACATCGTTTAAAATTAAAAAATTAAATGTGATAGTATAGAAAGTAATTTAAAGAGTTGCCACCTGGCATAAAATAAAGGTGTTTTGTTAAAAAATAATTGCCACAAAATTTTCTTTACAGTTAAGAAACAATTTTCAAATTTTTTGCGCTTAGTTACAAATATGAACAGAGCTGCCACCTTTATTAAATTTATGATAATAGGATAAAGTAAATCCAAAAAACGGTCAAAAATTGTTGTTATATAAAAATAGTAATGAATATGTATAAAAACTGGAATGCATATGTATAATGTAATAGCATAGAGTTGCCACCTGATTAAAGTTATACAACAATTAAAATGGTGCTCTTAAAAATTTCCAAAAATTTGTATTCCTAAGCATGATATTATCAGTCTTAATTTTTGTAAATTTTAACTTTTTTAAATTTAATTATTACTTAAATATTTGAAAAAAGATTGTTTTCGTAAGCTTGATATTTATTTACAAAAATATTTTTTTCTTTAATTTGCAAAAAAAATTTAAGCTTGATTTATTTAATTTGAATTTTTTGTAAAATTTGATATTTTTCAGAGACTTGAGTTTGCTATAGTTACGAAAATGATCGGGTTGCCAGCCTTATTGAAATTATTTTAAGAAACTAACGTAATAGTTAAAAAACAGTTTTAAAAATGTGTGCCATATACGTTGCCACCTGAATGAAGTTATAAAAAATTAATAATTACTTAAAACTTCAGAAAAAGTTATTTCCAATGAATTTAGATATTTGTATATACTTATATATTTCTAATATTCTTGTCACTAATAAATATGGCCAAATTATTCCTAGGGGGTTGCGATAAAACGTCATTTTCTATTACATATATATGTATATTCGTTTACATATGTGGGGGAAATGCAACTATGCACCTAATTTATTTTATATCTCAATGAAATAATGATGCATGTGGCATGCAACATCCGCGCATAATAATATTTTGCATTCCAACATTCAATAAAAATGCAGAGGAAATACTAGTTCATGTGTATGTACATAAATGAGATTGAAAACAATGAAATAACTAAAGATAACCATGAGATACTTGAAAGCCGCTAATTAAATTTTCACTCTTAATTGGTTTTTTCTTATTGTTAGGTTTTAGATTTTTCCAAAAAATCTTTTTTTTTCAACGCAAACGACCTTCTTTCATACATAAATAAATAACTTGAACACTTTGTTCATGCTTATTACAAATAAATGGTTAATGCATATGTATATAGTAAGTATGTAAATACCTATGTATCATACATAGTATATACATGTATATATGTGCATGTAGTAATTGTATATGCTGCATTACTTTTAATGACAATGTAGATGCCTAATCATGGGTGTAAAAAGCATTTTGTAATTTTTTCAGTACACTACAACAACACACAGATATCTACAACCGCTTTGTGAAAAAAACTCGAAAAATGCAAAAGGCGTTTCGCCTATTAATTACCTGCATGCGAGTTATTTACAACTTTGCATTGCATTTTAAATGAATTAAGTGAAACAAATCTAAACAATGCAATTTGGCTCCAAAACAAAAACCTCACAATTTTTTCTTGCTCATTTGTACGCTGGCATTTACAAGTGCTCGCTTACGTCCATTGTTACGCGCTGATCACACACACTCACACATATGTATTTATAAGCTTACAGATTCAGTAAGTGATACCTTAGTCGAGTTCATCGTTTATGCAAATTCGAAACTTGCGGCAATTTACTGCGATTCACCGCTATGCGGCAGCAGAGTGGCAACAACCAGCTTCAAGAGAGCACCGTTACAACGCATTGCTTGGCTTGAAAGACGATTACACATTTGCCTTTGTAATGTTATTGCATATATCCATTCATATATGTATGTATGTATGTACATCGATATCTAAGCCCTTAAAATGTTTTTTTATAACACGTCTGCATGGTATAGTGGGGAGCATAAAAAATGCATTATGGGCTTTCTAACAGTTATGAGGAACCCAATTTGATTAGGTGTATAGAAATGCCTGTATCTGTATTATTGATAGATCCTAAAAGCTCATAGTGTTTACATAAAAAAGTTTTCTCAAAAACTTATCAGTGTTCTCTTGTCACCAATTGATCGAAACCAAAGCCTTACAATCCAAAATTCGGGAGCATCAATGAACTTTGTAAACCGACAAAGCATTCGAAAAGTTTACCAAAGTAGACAGTATTTTAATCTAAGCGCCTTAGCATTGTCAAATAAACATGAGCGATAACAAGCATAAAATTACAAGAATCACAGTCTCTTGAGAAAAATCAAAAACTAAGCAGAAGTTCGCCATGTCATTAGCCGAATCAAAGACCTATCACAAAAGCTCACTATCTTAAAATTTGATTAAGGAACGCATAATCATACAAGTATTAAATGATCGAGGAACGTAATCGCTCAGAATGTATAAATATTCTCTGCCATATAAGATTTTCTATAAAATCCATAAGCCGTTTCCAGACAATTGAGGAAAACTTGCAGGATTCAAGATTTGTTAAATAATAGTAAAAGTTTTATACATATATACGCCACACATTTTATAAAGGAGCATACATTTAAGACAATTATTACTTACCTATTTTACAGAAGTCTATTCACTAAAATTCACCTCTATGTTACATAATGTCATACAAATATAAAAATTGCAAGAGTAATGAACACAACTGGTATAAATCACATTGACAGGCTTAATCAAATACAAGCTGTCTTCGATTCGCCAAGCGTTAGAGAGTAGTGAATTGTGAACAAATTATACCAGTTGTTGGAACCGCCTATATCGGACCACTATAACATATAGCTGCCACACAAACTGATCGATCAAAATCAAGTTCTTGTATGGAAACTTTTTTGTTGTGTAGGGTATTATAACTTCATAATTTATCTTCTTTCTAATGTAATTACGTTCAATTTTTGGCCTTTAGAGATGCTACTACACTACACTCCACTTTAGTCTTTGCATTATCAAAGTAAACTAAGTGTCTACAAAAATACTGCAACAGAGCTACTCAGAATTGCCAAAGTAATAATTATTTTCACAACAAAATTCAATCACTGCTATTTTTCTACTCCGCACTATTCGAACTTATCATCATGGTAATAATTAGCGGTGTTACTAAGCATACATAATGTTAGCACACAATATACTCGTACAAAAAAAAGGCGATTGCAAAGAAACTGAAACACGATATTCCATAGTTGATGTTAGCTGAAGCCATCATCCATTCCATACACTATGAAATGATTTATGCTACAAGACAACGCATAAGTCATCGTCTCTCAGGTTGTAAGGTTTCAGAGCATTATAAAGTTGGACCAAATTGAAAAAGAAGCATTAATGTATGTTATAATTTAGTTAATTCAGCAAAGAGTTTTTCTTAAGAGAAAAATTTTAATTTGTAACCAATTTTCAAAGCATTTATCTCATTTGTGCTGCACTTTTATAGCCTTTGAAATAATTTGAAGCTCATATTTTATATACATACATATATTTACAAAATTATACACTTTCTTCATCACTAGATATTGTACAGTATAAAAAGGCAACTAACAGACTCATATATAATAGTTGCCATGACTTGGTAAACTGAGAGATGAATGATGCAATAGTACGAGAGTGATTATAAATAATTATGTTGCAGCAATAAATAATTATGTTTTAGTTAAAAGTTGTGCTAAACTAGTTCAGGTGGTTGCCTCACAACTTATCATCCTTAAAATGCATGCTTATTGCGTTTATTCTTTTTTTTCGGCTTAGAAATCCATTATGTACTTCCTCTCTTGATATTAACTAAAACAATACGTCCTAACTACATTCACGACTAATTAGACAAAAACTTGTATAACAAAGCTTTTTTATCCTGGAAAATTATGCATAAGCTTTGCTCTTTACCAGATAAAGGAAAGAACTCGATGTTAGCATTAACTATAAAATATTAACTTCGACTGCACCGAAGCTATAATACTCTTCACAATTGCATTTTTTTATGGCCTAAAGAGGTATTAAAAGATCTTGATTTTGATCAGTCAATTTAAATGGCAGCTATGTGTATGCTATAGTGGCCCAATCTCACCAATATGTTCGGAGATTGTGGCGATGCTTTAGGTAATAATCTATGCTAAATTTTGTGATGATACCTTGCACAATAAAAAGTTTTCCATGCAAGACCTTGAGTTGGATCGGTCAGTTTGTATGGCAGCTTTACACGTATGCTATTATTGTCCGATATCGGCGGTTCCAACTGCCTAATTGGTGAGAAAAGGACGTGTGCAAAATTTCAAGTTGATACCTTAAAACATAAGTGGCTAGTTCGTGTATATACAGACGGACAGACAGGCATGTCACACAGCTCGTCACTCCAATCATTTATATACTCGTCTGTCCACACTTTATAGGGCCTCCGTCGTTTCCTTTTGGGTGCTAAACACAATAACACAGATCAGCAACAAAAAGTGCAACATTTGGAGAATAAACAAGGAAATGTCGCCGAATAAAAATACAAATCGATTGGTTGTCGTTGGTTCTAGCTCTGTCAATAAGCATTAAGAATTTGTAACCAAAATACTTGAGAGAAATCTCCTTAGAATTTAATAACACATTTGAATAAACCAGAAATCCAGTAGAAGAACTTTAAAAAGACATTCTTCAAGTGTATCGTCGTCCATAGTTTCACATTGTACATCTTATCTTCATTCACCGAGAGACAACTTATGCACGGTTCCCACTAAAACAAATGGGGTGACAAATAATCAATCTGTCAATTTCAATTGTAGTGATATTTACCACTAATAGGGTTGACAAATTTGAATTTTTCACAAGCTCCGTTTTCATTATTCAACCTGGTTGCAATTGAGGTTGAAATACTGATCTCAGCGGTTTTCCAACTTTTTGATACCATCGTTTTATTACGATTCGTATTTTCTTCAAAATAAATAGGCCTCAGTCTAAGCTATTACTTCCCATTTTCATTAAATCTGAGAACATCTGATCTGATGGAAAAGTTCTCTTGCTATTTTTCTACCATTTTCATTGTTGAATCGGTCGAAAATGAGCTTGAGTGGGTACTTCACATTCCACAGATGATTCGCTTACCAACCGAATCGCCCAGAGCTCGAATAACACTTATACAAATTTTTATTGATATAAACAGTATTTATTGTATCAAAAATAAATTGTCTTAAGGATTCTTAATCTTAAGTAACCCCGAGGAACTTAAACAACCCTAGCATAAATTATTTGGATACTTTTGAAGTTTGACTTTCTAGTCATTATAAACTTGGCGAAGCTAAACGTGTGACTTCTATTCATCACATTTTGCCGTTTGCCTGAACTGATATCCCATATCCTAACACAAAAATGTGCCTTGATATACGTAAGTATATTAGGTCGTGTGCATATTGGCTGCAAGCATGCAACACAAACCAAAGTAGGGAAGTTGCAATAAAAAATACATTGGAACATATAGCTACAATATGTATAATATATAGATCATAATAAAACAAAGAATAATTAAACAAAAAGTAAATGCATAAAGTCTAGCACTCAGCTAGAGAGGCGCTCCAACAAAGCCACAAAAATCGTTACAGCTTTTTTTGTTTTTGAATTTAATTCAACACATTTGGTAAACCATGCAAGTTGCAATAAAATAATGCAACATTTGCAATGCTGTAAAAACATTTGCAACAACGTATCAACACCATTTCATTAAGATATCACCCATTGTCTTCGAGAAGGAGCTGGGTCCAAGCATACTCTTTGCTTGCTATTACATCTACGAGTTGCTGCAGCGAGTCGTTCGTTTAGCAGCAGCAAACAATGCCTTTTTTGCTGATATCAACACGCCCAGCGTGTCAAAATGCAACATGGCTTATGCTGACTTTCAGTTATATGTATATATATATAAACATATGTATATATGTATAATGTCGGTATGTATTGTTAGGCATAAGAGTTGTTTATCGCATCCGTCCGGTATGCTGCCACTCGGCAATGCACTTGTTCACTGAAATCTGTCGATTTGGCCTAGCACGTTTAACATTGCAAGCACATACTCGTAAATATATGTGTATGTAGTCATGAAATATGGCACCTTCGAGGTGTATTTTGCACTCGCGTTCTCGCCTAGCAATTACACACAAAAAGCTCCCTTCGCTTTGATTGAGATAGCTTCAATAGTAACGGTACATATTATATATGTATACAAACATATCCACTTTAATAAATGCAAAAAGAAACGTTAACTTCGGCTGCACCGAAGCCATAATACCCTTTGCAATTGCATTTCTTATGGCTTAAAAGGGTATACAAATATCTGTATCTTGATTTTGATCAGTCAGTTTGTATGGCAGCTATGTGTATGCTATAATGATTCGATCTCAACAGTTTGTTCAGAGATTGTAGCGTTGCTCTAGAGAATATTATACGTCAAATTTCGTGAAGATATCTTGTCAAAGTTTTTCATACAAGAACTATATATTGATCGGTCAGTTTGTATAGCAGCTGTGTGCTACATTGATCTCATATAGACGATTCCGATATATGAGCAGCTTTTTGGGGAGGAAAGGGCGAATGCAAAATATCAGACCGATATCTCAAAAATTGAGGGACTAGTTCGTATATACACAGACGAACAGACCAAAGGGCAAGTCAAAATCAAGTCAGCTCGTCACGCTGATCATTTATATACATACATATATACCTTGTATAGTCTCAGACGTTTCCTTCTGAACAAAGCCAACTTCATGGCAAATTTAATATACCCTGTTCAGGGTATAAAAATACCTACCAAAGGTATTCACAGACTAGACTAGAGTTATAAGATAAAAATGCCAAACAAAACAATGCAACCAAGAACAAATTATTCCCCTCAAGCCATTCACATACATAGAGAAATAGTATATGCATACCACATATACATAAATAGACATATATAGATACACACACATATGCATATAAGCAATTGGATAGTTTGCAAGAAATGCAGTTCACTGAAGACAAAAGACAATTGAAATACCTTTAATGTAATTGAAAACTTAAAGCTGTAATTTCGCTCTGCACCCATTTCTAATGCCTGAAATAAAAACAATTTAGAAAGTGCATACCGGCTTGGGGAAATTTTGTGTGGAAACAAGCATTTTAATCTGCTCGAGAACCACAATCTTGCAACAACTGTAAAACTCTTACATTGTTGTAAAATTACAAAGTATGTTTACCCTAGTAGATAACTTTTGCCTACACGAGAATATATGTATGTAAATTTAAACTCTTTATTTAGAGCATACAATGACTGGAATGCTTTTGTTGTAAAATACAACAGTAATTATATCTGCGATTAGTTAGACAGCATCTGCATTTTATTTCCCAAATGGAAGGTCCTAAAAAAGATGAGTGAGATGCTTTGAAACAACTGTGTTATGTAGAAAGGCTTTTCAGAGGGTAAGCTTTTTCAAGTATGAAAAATTATTCTGTCTTATTAGATGTTGCCTATGACCAAATTCAACTTACGCCAAAAGGTCTTAATTATATTTCTTTTTTCGCGATAAGTATCGAAATAGTTATCATAGTTATCAGAATTATCCATGTCCGTCTATCCGTCGGTCTGAATAATATATGTCAGTGAGGTATCGATATGAAATTTTGCACACGTCAATCTCTCCCCAAAAAGCTGCTTATTTGTCAGTAACGCCGATGTCGCACCACTATAGAATTACGTATTTCCTCGAATTTTTTGAATAGAATAAAAAAACCCTCACAATTAGAAACAGAGGTTAAGACAACTAACATTCAGGGGAATGATATAAGAGCCTTGTAAAGTTGGTAGCAAGGATCCTTTTTAGCAAGGATATAGCGTTTAGATGAGATCTTAAAAATTTGCTTTATGTAAAAATTTTTTTCTGAAGCATTTTTACGTAACAGTGAACAGCAATCCGTTGTCCAATCTTATCATGACTTCTTTATATTTTAAGTTTCTGGCACAATTGGTTAGAAAATACGCAGTACTCTTAGTGTGTCTAAAAATTTTTTCACTTTCACAACATAGTACGTATATGTTTAACAGATGGCTAGATATTTATTGAACTTAAGTTTTATTCATATTATCGTTGCAGATGGCCAAACTGACATTGCGAAATAAACGTGTATGGTTTTATGATTATTTGTATGTTAATAACTCTACATCTAGCTCAATTATGATGTTAAAAACAGACCTAGTATTATACTCCTACATACGAGTATGTATATTCTCTGTGTTTTCATATTCGAGTGTATCATTATAAAGAAAATTAACGCGATGATAATGGGATGTGATTTCAGTTATTACAATTATACGAGTATGAAAATTTTTAAGCGTGCTAAGCCTCTTCTTATGACCTCAAAACGAAAAACTAGAAAAATTCTAAGACATGAATGCAACTTTTACACCGTTATATGATATTATATGGCCCTAATATGCTTCATACATATCACTCAGTGTAAAATTCTTCCTCAGTAGCACAAAATAAATGGTGAGAAAACAAAAAACCATGTAGACGGACCTACTTTATATGTAACTAATGAGCTTCCGGAATGCTCAGTCTAACACTAACGATTTGCTAGATATTCGGAAAGCCAAATTACACTCAACGATGTAGTAACATAGCCGCCTTTAGTACTTTGTAGCTTGTAGGGTAATAAATAACCGCTATAAAATATTACAGAATATAGATACAATATTTTCATTGGTGCTTATATAAATATATATAGAATCAAATACAATTGGCTAATTATACACATTTTCCAGAAATTGTATGTAAATATGTTCTCATTTCATAACCATGAACTTTCTGCGCTAAATATGCATGAAAATTATTCACACATGCTGATATTATATAATTTTTCGCTCATTCGCACAATAAAAACAGTTCAACGAACTAAACTCCTCAGCACCCTATTGGCAGATAAGCGCTGGCATAATTAAAAAAAATTAGCAATTTACAAAAAAACGTACATATGTGGGTACTTTTACACAACAACTCGTACATATGTATATCCAAATACCTATGTACATATCCCTCATAGAGATGCATACCCCCCTTACAGCGCCAACTCACCAACTACCGTCGTGCACTGAATTAAAGTGCTCATACAAGTAGCAATGCCAGAAACCGTAATAATTTTACCGCGTTAAGCAAATAAAATTGCGACATGCGTGTCAAAAAACAGAAGAAGCATAAAAAAGCGAAGAACATGTGGTGAATGCCAAGAAAATGATGTAAACACATACTGACATAGTCGCACGAAACGCTGTGTTCTTCACACGCCGCACCAACTTATTATTCCAGATGCGCAGCCATAGAACTACGCAACGGCTATGAGAGTTCAGTAACAGTAGTGGGACAGTGCCACCAACTGTGACTCTGATATTGGCATTAGCGCCGCCGGTAATGTTGCTATTACCACTTAGCGGTTGGCTGCCAAGTTTCGAATTCCAAGACCCTTTCAGCGCTTGGGTTTGCAA